GGCCCCACAAGCACCTTTAGTACCGGTTCATGGATGAACCAGTACTACAGTTTCTTAGTAAGCTGTTTTTTAGTCCCACCTCGCGAAGAGAGAGGGACTAGGAGCGGTTTATAAGCCCTGAGTGCAGAGACGATGAAGAAGAGGCTCAATGCTCACGTTGCTTAGCTTCAAGCCTTCAGGAATATGGTAGACTGCACGGAGCTATGCGGAGTGCAGTTTACACTATTCCGAAAGGCTTGAAGCAAATTAACGAGCATTACACCTCTTTTTTATTTTTAATAACTTATTACAACTCCGGACTTCTTCTGTTATGGCAAAAACTAATTGCACGTCGGCATTTCTTTTTTTAAAACTTTGGTTATAACTCCAGACTTTGACATCAAGTTTTGCAGAAAACAAAAAATAGCAGAAAGAAAACTATAGCTGAAAAGAAAAAAACTATATAAAATGACCGTGAAATTGAAAATCACTACAAAATGAACTCTGAAAATGTTGAATTTTGGCAAACTAGATGAAAAACTACTCAGAAATAAATAGAAGAAAATAAATATAACAGAAAAGAAAAAACTATACAAAAAACTACACAGAAATAAATAGAATAAAATAAAGCAGAAAAGAAAAAAACTATAAAAAAATTGGGGTGCTGCCCTGTGGGCCTGCTAGGCCACGGGCGTGCAATTACAGGCCTTAAAGGCCCAGCAGACTCACAGGACAGCGCGCAGAATTTAGGTCCACAAGCCTGCTATATAGAGGAGTTCGAAGAGGTAGTCGCGGCTGGGTTTATAAACCAGTGCGGCTGCCCTTCGCCCGGCGAGGTGGGACTAAACTTTGGGGTGGCAGCGCGAGGCCTTTAGTACCGGTTGGTGGCTCCAACCGGTACTAAAGATCACCCTTTAGTACCGGTTGAAGACCAACCGGTACTAAAGGCCTGCTCTTCCCGCCTCTTGGCCTGGCCAAAGTTGGCCTTTAGTACCGGTTGGTGGCTCCAACCGGTACTAAATGCCCATCTTATATACATAGCACTTATGAAAATTTCAGTTACATCTCTCCTATTTCATCTCCAACCTCTCGACATCGCCGTGCGCCGCTCGATCCCGTCGTCGCCGCCCGTCGCCCGTCGTCCGTCGTCGTCGTCGCTGTCCCCGCCGCCGCCCGTCGTCGTCGTCGTCTCGCGCCGACGCCCCGAACGTCGCCGCCGTCCGTCGTCGTCACCGCGGTCCCGTACGTCTCTCGCACCCGCGCGCCGGCACCCCCGCTCGTACGTACGGGGCGGCGGCGTACGGGGCAGCGTACCCACACTACACACACTACACACACACACACACACACACACACATTTTTTACTTATTTTCTGTTTCTGTTTTCTGTTTTTTAGAAAATTTAATTAGATATTAATTAGCTAGGTATGTGAGATTTGAACTAGTTGAATAATTAATATAACTTGTTTATTTTTAGTAAGAAAATTGTCGAACTAGTTTATTTAGATATATGAGATTTGAACTAGTTGAATAATTAATATAACTAGTTTATTTTTAGTAAGAAAATTGTCGTATCTGAGATTTGATTATCTAATTAAAATATTATTTGTTAATGAGTTTTTCTGTTTATTTAATGTTTTTATATATTTTGAGTTTATATAAATGTTAGATTAATGTCGAATGTTAGATGAATTAGATAGAAAAGTTAAATATATAATAATGTCAATTGTTAGAAATGAATATAGTTAGATATATATTTAAATTGGCTAGATATTAATTAATGTTAGATAGTAATAATTGTTTAATGTTTCACCTAAGTGGGATAAGTCTGAGAAAGAGATGGAGGATTAGAACTAGTTTATTTTTAGTAAATGCTTAGTTGAACTTGTTGAATTAATATATAGAACTAGTTTATTTTTAGTAAATGCTTAGTTGAACTAGTTGAATTAATATATAGAACTAGTTTATTTTTAGTAAATGCTTAGTTGAACTAATTGAATTAATATAACTAGTTTATTTTTGGTAAATGCTTAGTTGAACTAATTGAATTAATATAACTAGTTTATTTTTAGTAAATGCTTAGTTGAATTAATAGAAGTAGTTGAATTAATTGAATTAGTAAGTGTTTAATGTTTCGCCTAATATGAACATAGGAAATGTGGTCTAACGACGGAAAAAATTTCGGTATGTGTACATACTGTGAAGACGAGCGCGGCCAGTGCGACAAAAATTTCTTTGTTGATGGTAGGCGATTCAGCATCAAGCTGGATGAGACTTTCGAATTCGATACAGTAAGTCACAACGACAAGTTTGTTTTCGTAATTAAGCATGACTTATATATGCTTCATTTGTTTCACTTATAATTTTTAACTTTCACTATTCTACTAGCGCATCCCATGCCATGCAAGAATTTTTGTCTTGGATAAGATAGGTTTCAAAGATATGGAAACTATGGAGGTAAAGAGAGCTTACCTGAAAACTGAGCATGATGGTTATACTTTCAACATCAAAGTATACAATGCACACACGTACACCTATTTTGAATGCAAAACTTGGCAAGCACTATGCAAGGCTTATGCATTTGAGCCTGGTATGGTTATCACCTTTGATATTCGTCCGGAAGATGATATTGAAGGTAATAGAGACATATGGGTCGATGTGCAGACGCCTCCAGTTCTACCATTATGTGAGTTCTTCTCAAATATATTTTTGTCTTTGATATTGCTTATTTCAAAAATAACTGACAACTAATTTCTATTGACAGCTTATCTCCATTCAACCAAACATGTCCGGCGCTTGGTAGACAGGATCTTCTACTGTCCCGGAGCTGAACTAAACTGCGAGGAGATAAGTCATTATGTTTCATGGCTTGAGGATCTTCATACTGTCAAGACAAAAAAATTTCCTGCACTTGGAAATGTTAGTACTCAAAACGTGCGACCAATAGTGATGGTATTGAACTACGGTCACATCTATTTAGGAATGATGGTAAGATATTTACTATTTATCCTCAGTGCATATTTTGCATACATATTTTTTTTGCTAAACTTTCATTGCTAAGTATATTAATTAAGTACTATACGATGTTCTTCAACAGGGACTCCCGATGACAGTTGTGCCTCAGGGGATCGAGACTAAATGTCAGATGTCAATTGTTAGCTTAAGGCCAAGATATCCTGCATTGCACATGAATGCATTCAGGATTTCTAGAAGCGATGAATGCTTAATAGTGAAAGATTAGAGGAAAATTGTTAATGATCGCAGAGAAATACTAGGGAGCAGCAATGAGAAGCGCAGCCCACGATTAGGAGACAGGTTCATCGACATGCTCCAGTATGATCAATCATGAGAGCTATGCATGTTCTATACTATTTTACCAGAGAGGGAGTAGCTAGCAGGAGTATTTAGCTAGTTCTTCATGCTGCTCTTAATTAGTACTTGTCCTTTCATGTCCGTGTTCTTCGTTCTGAACTTAAGTGATTTGCTTTTGTGGTGTTATATATGAACGCTTATAATATCATGACAATCATGTTGAACTTGATGATTGGTTCTACTAGAAATTCTCTCTCTCTCTCTCTCTCTCTCTCTCTATATATATATATATATATATATATATATATATATATATATATATATATATATATATGCATAACGTTTACAATGTGTAGTATCGTAAAATACCAGCAAACGAAAAAAAAAATGGAAACACAAAATTAAATGAAAAAGAAATCATAAAACTAAAAAACCCCAAACCTTATAGTACCTGTTGGTCTTACCAACCGGTACTAAAGGGCTCCAGGCCCCCGGAGCTGGCTCGTGCCACGTGGTTGCCCTTTAGCACCGGTTCGTGCTGAACCGGTACTAGGGGGGGGGGCTTTAGTGACCACACTTTAGTACCGGTTACGGAACCGGCACTAAAGGGCCTTACGAACCGGTGCTATTGCCCGGTTCTGCACTAGTGGATCTCAGCTTTACAATCATACTTTGGATGTTAAACAAAAATTACAATACACATTTGTGAACAAATTAGGGACATCAAAATACACTCACGAATTTCTAACTGAACTTTACAATATGAAAATATCTACAAGCTGTATTTAATTACCAATATATATATGAGCAAGTTTATCATGGTTGCAGTTAAGTTCGTGTGCTCGGCCGATGATCTATGTACTAGTAGTACTGTATTAGTCGATAAATTTATGTTTAATCAATGTGCCAGTAGTATTGCAGCTAGGCTTCTTTTGATGAGTGACATTAATACTCCACTAATCCATAGTACTATGAGTGCACTAAACAATATACTAGCGTAATAAAAAGAAGAACTAACTGCACTACACCATACTGCAGGATGGGTGAGTAGTTTTAACTAGGAACATGCCTCATTTACTACCGCCCAGGTCACGAATGTTAATTGCACTGATGGGTAGCCTGCCACCCTGCACCCTGATCATAAACACACCAGTCTTTCTGCATTAAATTCAGTTATAGTTGGCCCATGTCTACTTTATTAACGTTGTGCATTCACTAACTTATCCATGTATATTGCCGCAGTATCCAATCAATCGCTATATTAAGTACGAATCGTCTAGCAGCAATCATCGGGATAATATCCTCGTGTGCCACCATATCCCAAAAATTCGCGTCCGACTTTGACACACTAAAGATTTGAATGTCTTTTTCTTGTAAAGATGTGTTTGTAAACCCTTGAGATATTTGATATATAACATTAGTCCTTTCGCGACAAGAAATAAAAGCTTTGTCAAGCGTGATGTCCATATCTAAAACAGGGGGCTCTCGGTCTAGTCGGGATCGGGACGGGTAGTTGCAATCCAAAACAGAATGTACAGCGTGGCAAGCGCTGTCAGCAATTCAAATACTGGAATATGATGATATGATATTCAGAATGTGGAGTACTTCATCTTGTATAATTATAGTATTGTAAATATTTATTTTTAAAACTATATGCTCACACAAATTTTATATGCCAAGTAAAAATAAATGGAGGGGTACTTGCTACATTTAACCGACTAACTCGAGCAACTGAGACTTGAACTCGGCCATTTGCCCTGGTTCGAGCAGCGAGACCGACACCTGCACGCCCTGGCCGTCCCTGGCGCGCATCAGCGCCACCTGTCCGTCGCGGATCATCCTGGTGTTCTCCGTCCGCATCGGCTTGCCCCACCCGAAGTCCGCCAGCTCGTAGGCCCGGAAGCTCGACGAGCCCGACACGTTCATCAGCCGTTCCATGGCGACAGTGAACGCCGGTGCCAGGAAATCGCACCCGGCCATCGGGTCCTCCGTCTTCTTGCGGACCTCCTCCTGGACCCCCCGCGCCGCCGCCGCCAGGGCGTGCTCGTCGCGGAGCTCGCGCGCGGGGATGCTCGCGATGCATCCGGTGAGGCACGCGCCCAAGTATCCCGCGTCGACGGGAGGGTCGAGGCGGTGCCGGGCATCCGCGAGGAAGCCGACCATCACGACGTCGTCGGAGGCGAACGGCTTGCACCGGGCGAAGCACGTCCAGGCGAGCGCGACGACGGCGATGAAGGTGGACGGGGGGCGAGGCGGGGCGGCGACGGAGGATTCACCGAGACGCACGATGTGCTCCTTGAGGCGCTGGATGCCCCGCGCGTCCACGGTGAACGTCCGGCGCGTCAACCGTCCATGGTCCTCTGAGAGCGGCGCCGGATATGCCGCCTGAAACGCGTTCGATTTTGTCACCTACAGTAGTAGTACGTTTTTGGAACTGGATGAAATATTTCGGGGCTGAGTGAGCATACCTTTGGTAGATTTGGCGCGTACTTTCTCAAGAAGCTCCTGGCCAGCTCTTGGCCACCGGGCAGCTTGACGAGCGAGCGGTCGAAGCACGGTGTCGCGGCCTGCGTCTCGCCCCGGCACGCCGTCGCCCACGCCTCGACGAACGTCCATAGCGACCGCCCGTCGGCGACACCGTGGTGCACCGTCACCCCGAGCGCCACGCCGCCCTTGAAGCGCGTGGCCTGCACGGCCAGCACGGGGGTCGGCAGCTCGCCCATGTCCACCTCCGGCACGAGCCGCTCGAGCACGTGCACGTCCTGCTTCTCGTCGCCGGCGAGGTGGTGGATGTCGGCGTCGGACTCTGCGACGACGAAATTGATGCCGTCTGAGGAGGAGCAGCTGAGGCCGACGTCGCCGGTGTCCTCTAGGTGGACGAGCTTGCCGGCGAGCGGCGCGAAGCTGCGCAGAGTCGCGGTCAGGGAAGACCTGAGGGACTGGAGAATTTCGTTGAAGGGCGGCATGTCTTCGCCCTCATACAGCAGGACGTGCTGCAGCACTGGGACGACGACCCACGACGCCTCCATCGCGGTGAGCTTGATCGGCTCCGGCGGCAGCGCGGCGGTTGCCGGCACGTTGACGTAGCTCGCATGGATTACTCTCACCGGAGACATGGCACGCCTGAGCAAGCAGTGGCGGCCCCTTCGTGGGTTTTGTGTGGGAATGATATGAGCTGAAAGAGCACGGGTGCACGGCGCCTTGTACTGCCAAGCCAGTGAACGAAAACTAGCACGGCCATGTTCCTGATTGTGGACATGTAATCAATTCTAGATCTATCATTCCAGCCAAAAGAAATATCTAGATCGATGATACCCTACCGACTACTACCGTACAACAACCATGACAGTTCTGCCAAAATGCAAGCGCCTCGCTTTATCTTGAAGCGTTAAATTTCCAGTGGTCAGTTCTGTTAGATTTTATGGGCCTCGTCAACTAAATCTTGTATCTCGGCCGAGTTTAATTTCTGCAACCTTTCAAATTGTATGGTATGTGTGTATTTTTAATCATATACTGCTAGCTAGTTGATATATAGAGCCAACACCTTTTTGTTTTTGTGATCGGGATGAATCAATCCAACATTCTTTTTCTGGAATAACCACTAGCCAAGTTATTGTGATGTACAATACATGTGTCCTTTAATATCATTCCTCCTAATAGCATCTCCAGGCCCGCAAAAAAGAAAAAGAAAAATAGCATCTCCGGTTTATTTGGGACTTGATTAAACGGGGTAAAGCCTAAGACCGCGGCATATATTCGAGTCGAAGTGGGTGCATTACTTTGAGCTATATGGAACTATATGAATGACGCTATATTTAATAAACACAACATCACCATCTTTCTGCAGGTCATCTTCCAGGCGTCAGGATGAATCGATACGTCCTCATTACTCAGTCACGAAAGTTAGAGAGCATATGGCCTATGGTTGCAACCGCTGAGACATGGTAGCATGGGATACCTACAACCGGTTTGGATGACGGTCCGATGATAGGATAGGTGTTTAGTCATCTTGATCTATCATCACCGGCAATGGCATTTTATTCCTTTTGTTCGACTTGCTTGGGAACTTGTTTGAACTATGTACTTTGTTGCTACCTAGTTCAATAAAATGGTTGCATGTATCACTGGATCCAGAGGCCATGTGTAATTCTCCTTTTCAAAAAAGTATACTGCTAGTTGAATTGAAGAATCATCAATGTATAAGTGGGCTGTTCTCAGACTCCTCGTAGTATGAGAAAATATAGCAACAACGCGCGCCTCATCGTACTCACTCACTCGATTTCACTTTACTTTGAGAAGCGTCTCAGCGCGACTGCTCGCATAAGTTCACTACTTCCTCGACCCTCATCCGCCTGCTTTCTCTATGGCGGAGAACCATCATGGCCGACGATGCTGCTGCGCATGAGTTTCTGATGAACTCATATGAACTGTTCTCTACTCTCTCTTGACATGTATCTTTGGTCCATATGCACGTGCTAGATGTTCTTAGTCTATCCTCTATAAGACTATAACACGAGTAGGGCGTTTCGGTGCTCAGGCTCATCTGCACCCGGTTAGAAAAAAATCCATACAAAATTAAAAAATTCAAAAAAATTCAACATTTTTTTGTGCAGTAGAAAATTTGATGTGTGAGGCCCGCTCCAAATTTCAAGTCATTTGGACATCTGAGTAGCTCTCAGCAAAAAAGACAAAATCGGGTTAAGATAGTACATGAACAGTAAACATTTTTACAGACCCTCAATTTATCTCTTTTGCTGAGAGCTCCTCAAATGTCCAAATGATTTCCAAATTGGAGTGGAGCTCACGCATCATATTGTCTACCGCACAAAAAAAATATTGGATTTTTTTAAAAAATTTCTAGTATTTGTTTTGATTTTTTTCATCAGCGCGGGTGTGGATGAGCTCGGGTGCAGAGATGGATTTTCGGTATAACACTAAGCTCCCCAGTTTTAAGGAGTCCACATTCAATTGAAGTCTCTAATTAAAATTGGGTCACCCGATTTTGACCACGTCAACAATTTCTCAAAGCTCCATCATTCAATTTTTTTATACTATACACTATACTTCTTAATTTTCAAGGCTTGACAAGTAATCGAGCGGTCGAAGCACGGTGTCGCGGCCTGCGTCTCGCCCCGGCACGCCGTCGCCCACGCCTCGACGAACGTCCATAGCGACCGCCCGTTGGCGACACCGTGGTGCACCGTCACCCCGAGCGCCACGCCGCCCTTGAAGCGCGTGGCCTCGCCCACTAAATCTTGTAGTATATCTCGACTGAGTTTAACGAAATCACTAGTTGAGGAGTACTCGTTGCAAAGATCACTCCAACCTTCCCGGGTTGCGACAAGTGGTGTGTTGCATGTGCGCCACTTGTCGCAACTTGGAATTTTCCTTTTTCCGTAGATCCGTTTATTCAAAACGTTTTATCCCTTAAACCGTGCGTCCAAATGTCGAACCGTCGTTGGATCCCTCGCGTCGACATTTTCAAAACTGGATCTCATGTTGATAGTTTTGACGAACTTTCTTTCACACAAAAAACCGGATGAAATACACCGGATGAAAAAACCGAACCGGGAGCACAGGTTTTTTCCCTTTCCGAAAGAGGCACGCCCGTGCCTCTTACGAAATCACAACCGTGTCTCTCACGGAAGCAAAATCGTGACTCTCGCGGAAGAAAAAGAAAAAGAAAAATAAAACGCGTTTTTTTTCGTTTCCGAGGAGGCACGGCCGTGACACTCGCGAAAGCACAACCGTGCCTCTCCCGGAAGCAAAACCGTGACTCTCGTGAAAGGAAAGAAAACAGAAAACATGTTTTTTTTTCATTTCCGAGAGGCATGATCGTGACTCTCGCGAAAGCACAACCGTGCCTCTCGCGAAAGCAAAACCGTGACTCTCGCAAAAGAAAAAAACAGAAAACACATTTTTTTCCGTTTCCGAGAGGCATAGAAAACACGTTTTTTTTTTCGTTTTTGAGAGGCACGATCGTGACTCTCGCTAAAGCACAACCATGCCTCTCGCGAAAGCAAAACCATGACTCTCGCGAAAGGAAAATAAACAGAAAATGTATTTTTTTTCGTTTCCGAGAAGCATGACCATGACTCTCGCGAAAGTAAAACCATGCCTCTCATGGAGGCAAAACCGTGACTCTCGCGAAAAGAAAAAACGCGTTTTTTTACGCAAAAATTTATTTTTTTGATCAAAAACTAAGAAAGACCGGTGAAAAACCAACACGTTGAAAACCCCCGAAAAAACCCGTTTAAAAAGCCGAAAACGCATGCGAAAAAATAAAAAGCCAAAATCCATAGGGAGTGCCCAGAGCGCGACACGTAACGAATGGCTGAGAGCGCGCGAAGTGGCGCTGATTGTTGTGAAGCTTCCTAAGGAGCGCTCGTTAACTAGTTGCTCTCCGAGTTTACATTATGAAATCTTTCAAATTATAGGGTACATGTTTATTTTCAGTCATATACTGATAGTTGAATAGAAGAATCATCAATATATGAGGTGGGTTGTTCTCCAACTCCTTGTAGTACAAGAAAATAGAGCAACAACGCGCGTCACTTTACTCTGGGGAGCATCTCAGCGCAACTGCTCGCTCAAGTTGACTACATCCTTGACGTCCGCCTGCTTTCTCTATGGTGGACAACCACCATGCATGGCTGACCGATGCTGTTGCACATGAGTTTCTTATGAACTCGTCTGAATTGTTCCCTTCTCTGCCTTGACATGTGTCTTTGGTCCATATGCACGTGCTAGATGTTCTTAGTCTGTCATATGCGATTTGTCATGTTAGTAATCTTGTGATGATGCTAAGCTGAATTAAGCTTAATAAAGAACGGCCTAATTTCCTCTCAATAAAAAAACCTTATCCATTCATGCAATTTTGTTGGTTGGTTTTGCTGCTGCTCTGGAACCGGGCCCGTTCAAGGTTGCTCACTTCAAGAGTTGAGATGATAGACCTTCGAGGGTCCCACTTATTCCTGAATAGGACAAAGCATTCTCGATGTCACTTTAATCTTTGTCGGTGTTGTCATTAGAGTGTTCCGTGACAGGCTGATTGATGCATATTTACATACGCGAAATGCCAAAGAACCGCGGGACGCATTTGAATCCAAGTTTGGCACCACCTATGATGTTTGTGAACTGTATGTTGTGGACCAGTCCAATGACTATAGAATGATTGAGAACCGTTCCATGGTTGAACAAGCTCATGAGCTTTAGGACATGTTTGCTTGCCTGGATTTGACCCGACCAGGCCCGCGCGGGAAGAATCTGGCATGTTTGGTAGCCCGCATACACTGTTCGGCTTGCATCACACGAAGTTTAAAGCACCTCCTAGCAAGGCCCAACTGTTACTGTTGGGGAACGTTGCAGAAAATAAAAAAATTCCTATGGTTTCACCAAAATCCATCTATGAGTTCATCTAAGCAACGAGTGATAGGAGTGCATCTACATACCTTTGTAGATCGAGAGCGGAAGTGTTCAAGAGAACGCGGATGATGGAGTCGTACTCGCCGTGATCCAAATCACCGATGACCAAGTGCCGAACGGACAGCACCTCCGCGTTCAACACACGTACGGAGCGGATGACGTCTCCTCCTTCTTGATCCAGCAAGGGGGAAGGAGAGGTTGATGAAGATCTAGCAGCACGACGGCACGGTGGTGGATGCAGCAGAGTTCCGGCAGGGCTTTGCCAAGCAACTACGGAAGGAGGAGGTGTAGCAAGGGGAGAGGGAGGCGCCAAAACTTCAGGTGCCGCTGCCCTCCCTCCCCCCTCCTTTATACAGGCCCCCAGGGGGGCGCCGGCCCTAGAGATGGGATCTCTAGGGGGGCGGCAGCCAAGGGGGGTGGAGTGCCCCCCAAGGCAAGTGGAGGCGCCCCCTCCCCTAGGGTTCCCAACCCTAGGCGCAGAGGGGGCCCGGGGGGCGCACCAGCCCACCAGGGGCTGGTTTCCCTCCCACTTCAGCCCATGGGGCCCTCCGGGATAGGTGGCCCCACCCGGTGGACCCCCGGGACCCTTCCGGTGGTCCCGGTACAATACCGGTGACCCCCGAAACTTTCCCGGTGGCCGAAACTGCACTTCCTATATATAATTCTTTACCTCCAGACCATTCCGAAACTCCTCGTGACGTCCGGGATCTCATCCGGGACTCCAAACAACTTTCGGTTTGCTGCATACTCATATTCATACAACCCTAGCGTCACCGAACCTTAAGTGTGTAGACCCTACGGGTTCGGGAGACACGCAGACATGACCGAGACGGCTTTCCGGTCAATAACCAATAGCGGGATCTGGATACCCATGTTGGCTCCCACATGCTCCTCGATGATCTCATCGGATGAACCACAATGTCGAGGATTCAATCAAGGGACATTTACATTTGTGCCCCTAACTCGAACCCACTACTCAGATTTGCCCCTAGTTTTCGGGTATGCTCAGTTTTGCCCCTCCGCCGTTAGTTCCCCTTATAAAAATGCCCTTCGGTGCCGTTACCGTTCGGCAAAGGTCTTTGACCGTCTATGGGGCGTTTATTGGACATATTGCCCCTCCCTCCGTGTGTCACTTACATGTGGGACCCATTCAGAAAAAAATAAAAAGGAAAAACTCTTTCTCTCACCCCTCTCTCCCTCTCACTTACATGTGGGCCCCTCATGGCCTCTCTCTCACCTCCCACCAATCTCCCTCTACCTCACGGCCCCTCTCTCTCTCAACTCCGGCGACCGCCGGCTGCCCAGAGACCGTGCGCTGCCGCCGCTAGCTCCCCGCGCACGGCAGCCCTCCCTCCATCCCTCCCTCCCTCCCTCCCTCCCTCACAGCCTCTCCCTCTCTCACCTCTGAAGAGCGCCACCGTCGCCGCTGCCTTCGTCTCCTTGTGGCCAACGGCAACCCCAAGCGCCTCCACCTCGCCAGGAAGCTCTTACGAGATGCCCTCATCCTAAAAGCCAACTAATTTGAGGAGAGACGATCAGCGCCGAGTGACACGGCACATCTTCCCCACCTCGACCTCAGACCGCCGCATTCAATTCGATGTTGTTAAAACACATCGGACGATTCCTTCTGCCAGAGGCTAGCTCGAGACAAAGGTGCATGTCCATGAGCACCGCAGGCCAGCTCTCGTCCAGCCCACGCGGTGAATCGGGCAGGGGACACCCATAGACGACGCCCAGGACCCCGTCCTCCGCTACGGTTGTCGTCGTTGACCTCCTAGATTCGACCGCCCCAAGCCACCGTGGACCTCCTTGACATCCGTTTCGCCATCGCTGTAAGGTCGCGCCCCTAACACCCTCTTCCCCCTCTTGATTCTGCGCCTGTAGCTCCCAGCATGAAGCCGGCCGCCATGACCAAACTTAGGTGGTCGCGCGCGCATGTTACCACCAACCGCTGCGGCGCCCAACTCGCTCGGCATGCGTCGCGCAGATACACTGAGTGCCTTGGGCCCTCCTCTCGCGGTCGTCCGGCCACCTACGCTGAGCCGCCGGCGAGCGAGCCGCTCACGGCCAGGCATGCCTCGCCGTGGACCAATTTTGACCTTGGCGGTGGGTCCCATGGCCCACCTGTAAGTGTGTGTGTGAGAGAGGGGTGAGAGAACGGGTTTTTGTTTTGTTTTTTGAGAATGGACCCCACCAGTAAGTGAGACATGGAGTCAGGGGCAAAAATGTCAAGGAGACGGCCATAGAGCGGTCAAACGGCTTTGACTAGACGGAAACGGAGCGGAGGGGCATTTCTATAAGTGGCACTAACGACGGAGGGGCAAAACTGAGCATACCCAAAAACTAGGGGCAAAACTGAGTAGTGGGTTCGAGTTAGGGGCAGAACTGGAATTGGCCCTTCAATCAACCCCGTATACAATTCGCTTTGTCAATCGGTACGTTGCTTGCCCGAGACACGATCGTCGGTATCCCAATACCTCGTTCAGTCTCGTTACCGGCAAGTCACTTTACTCGTACCGTAATGCATGATCCCGTGACCAGACACTTGGTCACTTTGAGCTCATTATGATGATGCATTACCGAGTGGGCCCAGAGATACCTCTCCGTTATACGGAGTGACAAATCCCAGTCTCGATCCGTGTCAACCCAACAAACACTTTCGGAGATACCTGTAGTGCACCTTTATAGTCACCCAGTTACGTTGTGACGTTTGGTACACCCAAAGCACTTCTACGGTATCCGGGAGTTACACGATCTCATGGTCTAAGGAAAAGATACTTGACATTGAAAAAGCTCTAGCAAAACGAACTACACG